CCTGGAACTCACAGAGATCCAAGTGTGTCTACTGGGACTAAAGGTGTATGCATGCTGCCATGTCCAGCTCCTTTGTTTTCTCCTATGATAGGGTTTCTACGGCATTATCTTGTTGCTATGCAGTCCTAGACCTGGCTATTTAACTTTTCACTAGCTCAGGAAGGTGGCCCCTATTGGTAGGAAAGCATGAGGATTGAAGGGATATCACATTGTAGCCCTAAGCCTGAAAAAAAGAGTCTGCAAGAGGATTCAGGAAGGAAAAGAATGTAGGGAAGGCTCCAGGTGGAACAGGTGTAAGGGGATATAGGCTTGGGGTTCCTTTTGCAAGCCTTTCAGTGTATTTTTTGTGACTGGGACAGACCCTGCAGAAGGAGATCCAGGGCCATGAGCCCCGGATTGCAGACCTCAAAGAGAGGCAGCGTGCTCTGGGAGCAGCAGCAGCAGGTCCAGAGCTGGCCGAGCTCCAGGAAATGTGGAAACGCTTGAGCCATGAGCTAGAGCTTCGGGGTAAGCGACTAGAGGAAGCCCTTCGAGCCCAGCAATTCTATCGTGATGCTGCAGAGGCCGAGGCTTGGATGGGTGAACAGGAGTTACACATGATGGGCCAAGAGACAGCCAAGGTGAGAACCAGAGCAATGGCTGTTTGTGTGGCCAATTCTGCCCTGGCCCCTGCTTTCGGATGCCCCCTTTTCCTTCTCCCAGGATGAGCTGAGTGCCCAGGCAGAAGTGAAGAAGCATCAGGTATTGGAACAAGCCCTTGCTGACTATGCCCAGACCATCAAACAACTAGCAGCCAGCAGCCAAGATATGATTGACCATGACCACCCAGAGAGGTGAGTGTGTGAGTATCAAAGAACCTAGACACTAGTGGAGAGGAGGGCTAGTTCAGAAAAGTATAGCATTTGTGGTGTCTTTTGAACCATGTGCATAAAGAACAGACTTAAAAGTTAGGAGAAGCAAGGGACTAAGAGACAAAGCTCCAACAAGCCATTCTCCCTACCCCTGCAGCACAAGGCTAACAATCCGCCAAGCCCAGGTGGACAAGTTGTATGCCAGCCTGAAGGAGCTGGCAGGAGAACGGCGTGAGCGCCTGCAGGAGCACCTCCGGCTGTGCCAGCTCCGCAGAGAACTGGATGACCTGGAACAATGGATACAGGAGCGTGAAGTTGTGGCAGCCTCCCATGAGCTGGGCCAGGACTATGAGCATGTGACTGTGAGTCCCACACACATCAGCACCAGGAAGGATCAGGGCCCACAGGGAGACCAAAGCCTTGGCCCAGGCAGAGTGCTGAGAGTAGACACAGAGCCAGACAGAGAAGGCATTGTTCTCGTGGGTTTCAACTTGAGCAATTGTGCAGAAAGAGGGTTGTAGGGGTCACCATAAGTGAGGATAAAAATGAAATTGCTAGTCTTTTCCAACAGACCTCAACAAAACAGAGTGAGCTTCAGATTCTTTGCTTTGGTTGGAGGTTTAGGCCCCTGGTACAGAAATCCAGACCATAGTTAGGATGTCCTTGTCAAGGACTAAAGGTTCAAAGTGCCTCTAGGTGCCTTTAGGATGTCAGGTGTCATATAGAACTGTGCTGTTATGTCACTCTAGCCATCTTAGTTCACATGTGCACCCTGGTGAAATTCCCAGTGATAACATTTCTCAGGATGTGTTCTCACTGTTGAGCAACATACAAGTGTAAATTTAAAACTGCCACAACTGCTCACTGACCAGTGGATTCTCAGTTTTGGGGAGAGAAATGACTGCTTCATGAGTCAGGGACCTCACACACTAGGTCTCACCTGTCTCTATAAATGCTTCCTCCATCAGATGCTCCGGGACAAATTCCGAGAGTTCTCCCGGGACACCAGCACCATTGGCCAGGAGCGTGTAGACAGTGCCAATGCACTGGCCAATGGGCTCATTTCTGGGGGCCATGCTGCACGGGCCACTGTGGCTGAGTGGAAGGACAGTCTCAACGAGGCCTGGGCTGACCTGCTGGAGCTGTTGGACACAAGAGGTCAGGTGCTGGCTGCTGCTTATGAGCTGCAGCGTTTCCTGCATGGGGCCCGTCAAGCCCTGGCACGGGTACAGCACAAGCAGCAGCAGCTTCCAGATGGGACTGGCCGTGACCTCAATGCTGCTGAGGCTCTGCAGCGCCGGCACTGTGCCTACGAGCATGACATCCAAGCCCTCAGCACCCAGGTCTGACCCTAGATGGAGCAGGTGGGGATGAGAAAGCTGAGAGGAAACTATTTGGTGGGAGGGGAGTTTTGTGTGGTAGGGAAGATCTCTGAGGGGCTGGGAGGATGGTACGCATGGAGGGGCATTTAGAGAAAAGGTTAAAATCACCCCAGGAATGGACATCGGCTACCACATTCAGGACTGTTGTATAATGTGTGTGCGAGCACATGCATCAGAGTACACGCACTTCGATGTGTATATGGGGGCCAGGGGACAACTTTGATTCTATCCTTGGGCTTTAGGTTCTGTTAATCCAGGCTTGGGCAAGTGCTTTTTACACATTGAGGCATCTCACTGGCCAAGTTCACACTTGTGATGAAGATCCATGACTTTTTTCTAGTGGTCCTAATAGCTGCAAGATCCTTCATGCTATGTCCAAATCTACCTGTTGATGCCACTCAGGCCAGAATTCTGGATTTATGAAATTAATACAGATCATTCCTTCAGCCCCATTGGACCAGTCAGTCCCCAACCCAAATTGACTCTGCAGGCTACACCTCTCCTTCTAGTGATTTTTCGATGTCCTATCCTAGTCTACCCTGGGTAGGGACAGCTCAGCTTGATTTTAGGGCTCTGAACCTTGGTTCTTCCTACTACCTTTTTGGCTGGTGAAACAAACAGGAGGTAAAAAGCAGTGCAGGGACAAGAGAGGCTTCAGCTCCTGTCTCCCAACTCTGCCTGACTCAGACCTGGGTACCCACAGGTCCAGCAGGTTCAGGACGATGGCCACAGGCTACAGAAGGCCTATGCTGGAGAGAAGGCCGAGGAGATCGGCCATCACATGCAGGCTGTGGCTGAGGCCTGGGCCCAGCTCCAGGGAAGCTCTGCTGCCCGTCGTCAGCTGTTACTGGACACCACAGACAAGTTCCGATTCTTCAAAGCTGTCCGGGAGTTGATGCTGTGGATGGACGGGATTAACCTGCAGATGGATGCCCAGGAGCGACCCCGGTGAGACCCACAGTGCCTGGCATACTCCACAGGGTATGTGATACTACTGGTGGCTGTGGTGGAGCTGAGGCAGCTGCTGATACCATCTTTGTATCGGCCTAGGGACGTGTCCTCTGCAGATTTAGTCATCAAGAACCAACAAGGCATCAAAGCAGAGATAGAGGCCAGAGCAGACCGTTTTTCCTCCTGTATTGACATGGGGCAGGAGCTGCTGGCCAGGAGCCACTATGCTGCTGAGGAGGTGGGTGAGACCTGGAGAGAGCCTGGCCAGCCACACTGACCATGGATTATTCCTGAAATTTCTCTTTCTGTTCATTTTGTTTGTTCGGTTGGCTTTTGGGTTTGGTTGGTTGGTTGGCTGGTTTTTTGTTTGTTTTGTTTTGTTTTTTGAGACAGGGTCTCAACCATGTAGCTCAGGATGGCCACAGTTCTCTTGGTGTGTCCTCCCAAGTACTGGGCTACAGGTGGGCACCATCATGCCCAGCTTTGATTTGTTTCCTGTCTTCTTCTTGTCATTCTTTCATAGAATTCTTTCACTGTTCTGACAATGCTATCCAGGATTTCTAAAGTCCCGTTTCTCCCCCCTAGAACTATTTTTCTTTCCTTTTGACACTAGAAATCATTGCTGTATTTCAGTGGTTCCAAGGGACCTTGGAAAGGCCCTATTAAGCCCTAAGTCAGGCCCCCTTCCCCTCCCCCAGATCTCAGAGAAGCTGTCACAACTACAGTCCCGGCGCCAGGAGACAGCTGACAAATGGCAGGAGAAGATGGACTGGCTGCAGCTGGGTGAGCCACTGTGGGAGTGTCAGCAGGAGGGAGGGGTTGTGAGAAAGGCCTGGGCATTGCCTATCTGTGGTGGCGCAGGGCATGATACCAAGCACCCTGGGTATGGAATTCCAGGGTACTGTACGTGGTACCTCCTGACAGTACACTGGGACAATGATGTTCTGTCCTTTACTTGAGGTTGCCATTGCTACCATGCCCTACTACTATGTACTCTAATTTTCCATCTCTCTATGACACCCCCCTACCATGGCAGTTTTGGAGGTGCTTGTGTTTGGGAGAGATGCAGGGATGGCAGAGGCCTGGCTATGCAGCCAGGAGCCATTAGTACGCAGTGCAGAGCTGGGTTGCACCGTGGATGAAGTAGAGAGCCTCATCAAGCGGCATGAAGCTTTCCAGAAGTCAGCAGTGGCCTGGGAGGAGCGTTTCAGTGCACTGGAGAAGCTCACTGCGGTGAGGACTGTGGGACCTCAGGAGTGGCCGACCCCACTGCAGCCCCAGCCCTGTTCTCTCTCACCTCTTCTCTTCCACTGCACTGCGCCTCTGAGTGTGAGCTCAGAGTGCTCGTCTGTTATATGACCGCAGGCGTCAGTGAACCTGGGTGCTACTGAGACCACTCTGCTTCTTGCCCTACCTTCTTTTAGATTCTCTTCTCCATCCTTCCTGTTTTATTGAGCTAGAGCTGAGACATTTCAGCTTTTCTCCTTACCATGATACTTGCTGACCTCAGCATTTCTTGACAGCTGGAAGAGCGGGAGAAGGAGCAGAAGAGAAAGAGGGAGGAGGAGGAACGGAGCAAGCAGCCCTCTACTCCAGAGCCCATGGCTAGTCGGACCGAAGGTAGTCTGATAGATGGCCAGAGAGCTCCAGACACTGCCTGGGATGGGTAAGAGCTAGACACCTGGGCCAGGAGGCTGAGGCTGGGCCTAAGCAAGTCACAGATAATTATTCTGTGACACATTTGATCATTCTAGATCCCAGTCACAGTTGCCATCATCCACACAAGCACCCAGTATTAATGGGGTCTGCACAGATACAGAGTCTTCACAGGTAATTTAATGTCTGTGAATATCCCTTTTGACTCTGCCAGCCACCACATCCTCACAGCTTCTTATCTTTGCAGCCCCTGTTCGAACAGCAAAGACTTGAACAGAGCAGTGTCCCAGAAGGGCCTGTGAGTCTCTCTGGAGGGGTGGATGTTGGTACCTGGGAGATGAAGGGACAAAAGAAGTGGGTAGGGGTCCTGGGTATGAAGCTCAAGCTTGGCCTGAAAGACCAGCTCTTGGCCATAGAACTTCTTGACTCCAAGGCAAGGTACCGTCCATATCACCTACTAGCAATGACATTGCTTTCCCCCACAGGGATCTGGCACAGGGGACGAGTCCAATGGGCCCCGGGGAGAGAGGCAGAACCGGCCCCGGGGCCCTGCCCCCTCTCCAGTGCCCCAGAGCAGATCATCAGAATCAGCCCATGTTGCCACCTTGCCCACACGAGGCCCTGAGCTCTCTGCTCAGGAACAGATGGAAGGGATGCTGTGCCGCAAACAGGAGATGGAGGCCTTCAACAAGAAAGCTGCCAACAGGTATCAGGCCTGGCTGTGCAGAGCCTTTAGCCTCCTGCTTTTGAGACGTTTCCTGGAAACTTCCTAGACAGAGGGAAGCACTTTATAGGAGTTTGTCCTTTGGAGAAGGGCTGGAACTCAGGACTCTCACAGCCTCAGAGGAGGGTCACAAGTGACCTAACAACTGTATTGTGGAACTTACATGTTATAGGTCCCACAAAGCCACTGGTCTACCTGTCTACCAGGTTTCTGACCCTGCCATGTCTCCCCAGGTCCTGGCAAAATGTGTACTGTGTACTTCGGCGTGGGAGCCTCGGCTTTTACAAGGATGCCAGGGCAGCTAGTGCAGGAGTGCCATACCATGGAGAAGTACCTGTCAGTCTGGCCAGGGCCCAGGGCAGTGTGGCCTTCGACTATCGGAAACGCAAACATGTCTTCAAGCTGGGGTAGGAACCAGGGCTGTTCTCAGGTTGGGATGGAAGGAGTCAGAAATAAGGCGAGGTGGATGGACCATGAGCAAGGTCCAGAGTGAAGGAAGCTACCTGAAGAGAGCACATGAATGGTACTGCTCTGCTAGGTGCTTGGGCACATTTGTCCGTGGAAGAGAGTGGAGATTCTGGGTCCTGAATCATAGTAGAATGGAGGAGCTAAAACATAGGCTGAAAAGTTATCTTGGGAAATGTGAGGACAGGATACTAGCTCACTCTAGCTTCCAGGGGACTACCCACTGCCAGCAAGAGCCTGCGTGGCCTTGGATGGAAATGAGCTTAATGTTGCCCTCTGCACTCTTAGAATCTGCTTTTGCACATCTGCAAAACCCTGAAACTTTGAAGAATGTGTAAAACATGATCTGGCCATGAGGGCTATGCTCTCCTAGTCAATCCAGTCCTGGGGGAATACTGAGCTCACAGAAGCACTGATATGCTAAGTAAAGATTCTTAGCTCTGCCCTGTGCCTTCTCCTAACAGCTTACAGGATGGCAAAGAATACTTATTCCAGGCCAAGGATGAGGTGAGCCTCTTGTCCTACTGTGTGTACTCACGTGCGCTTTGTCTGTCTGTGTCTGTGTCTCTGTTTCTGACTGTCTCTCTGTCTCTGTCTCTCTCACTCTCTCTCTCTCTCTCTCTCTCTGCCAGCATTTTTTTTGTTTTTGTTTGTTTGTTTGTTTTTTTGGTTTTTACAAGACAGGGCTTCTCTGTATTGTTTTGGAGGCTGTCGGTCCAGCCTGGCCTCGAACTCACAGAGATCCGCCTGCCTCTGCCACCGCCTGGCTGTTATTTTGTTTTATGAGACAGGGTCTCACTCTGTATGCTTGGTTTCCATTCCAGAGTGGCCTCGAACTCATAGCAACCCTTATGTCTCAGCCTACTGAGTCTGGGTTCACCAAGTTCACAGCCTCACCATGGCCAGCTGAAGCTCTCTATCCTAAAGGGGTTCTTTTTCTCCTTCTAAAACAAAAAAAAATCAATCTCTTCATACTTACTCCTATCATACTTTCCTTCTGCCTACTACATGTGGCCTCCAGTCAGTCTTTGAGTATGACGTGATGCCTTCCTGTCCCTTACAGGCAGAGATGAGCTCATGGCTGAGAGTGGTGAATGCAGCTATTGCCACTGCATCCTCTGCCTCTGGAGAGCCAGAAGAGCCAGTGGTGCCCAGTGCAGGTCGAGGTCTGACCCGGGCCATGACCATGCCTCCAGTGTCGCAGCCTGAGGGCTCCATCGTGCTTCGCAGCAAGGATGGCAGAGAAAGAGAGCGAGAAAAACGATTCAGCTTCTTTAAGAAGAACAAGTAGTTGGGGGCAAGATTCCCAGGTCAGCTCCCTCCCTCCGTTCAGGAAACTGCCAGGGACTATCGACAGAGACCACCCTCTTGTCAGGACAACTGCCTGCTGCTAGGGTCTGCTGCTAAGGTCAGCCCATCACCAAGAACTATCACTGGGGACAAACAAGTGTTCCCACAACCTTCTCTTCTGCTATTTAATTCAACTGGTGGTGGGACCCAGGCAACCCCTAATATCACTCTTCCCCACCTTGTCACCTCTTCCCAAGCCTTATGCCTCCACCCCCACCATGGTGCAGATAGTGTCACCCTCAAAATGGGCTATGTGGGAACCACTGTCCCTGCCTCAGGGTCATTGTGCCACCACAGTCAGGGTGTGCGGTTCACCATCCAGTTCTTTGCCTCTGAGATCAGCCAGGACCCTCTCAGAGCTGAAGCAGGGCCCAAGGGCAGGAGAACCAGATGATGGAGACGGGGACACTGAAGCCTTCCCTGCCCATCCTGCCTCATCCTCTGACTCAAGTGGCTGCTCCTCTAGCCACTCGAGGTGGCTTCCAAGTGTGAGTTGTTCAGGAGTAGCCACATCCTTGAGTCTACCCAAGGAGGTGAATTAAACAGCTCAGCTTCTCTCACTGCCTCTTGGTGTTGTTGCTTTTCTGACCATAGCCTCCCTGGTTCTGATATCCTGTGTGTCCACTCTACCCCCCACATTTTGAGCCTCAAAGAATTGTGTGATCCTGAGAGCCTTCTTGTCTGTCTCCCCATGACAGTGATCTGTTTCACTGGGTTGACTTCTGTTTAGACCAAAGACATTCACTGTGTTTTGGGTTGATGTTAATTAACAGTATTCATGTTAAAAGGCAGTAAGTCCCTCTCCCTGGTGCACACTTTTCTTTTTTTAAAAAGTTGTTGAATTTCTAGCAGTGCTGGGGATGGAACACTGGGCCTCATGCATGCTAGGCAAACACTCTAACATGGAACTACACTTCTAGCCCCCACACTATTCCTCACTCTCAAGTCTATCAATTGTTTTCAGTAAGGGGTGATAGGACTGTTACTACAACCTACTCTCGGCAACTGCTGAACCAGCAGTGGATAGGGGAGCACCCTACTTTTTGTCTTTCCCATAGAATCAAGGGAGCTCACACAGAATTACAGGAGTGCCAGGTTCCCACCTCCTGAACTCTAGAGGAATATCACCCTAGGAATCCATAAGGTACATCCTGAGCATGTAAATAAACACACAATATATTCTAGAGATGGAAAGAAGTATTTTTTCTTAAAGTTTGCAGTATTGAAAAAGAAGGTATTAAATTTGTAAGTTGTGGGTCTGTTTGAGAAAACTAGCCTGTCTCAGCATAACTGGCCAAGGGCCCCAAGTAGCCATGACTGACTACTGTCAGTCAAAACAGTGACAAGCAGAGTCAGGTGTATGCAGGCTAGGGACTAGCATCACACAGCCCCTAATGGGCCCTATACATCACATGTGGCATGGCAGATAATTCCCAGGGTTTTATTCTCGCTCTTAAGTGGATTCGGTACTCCCCATTAAACATGCATATGTACAACAGTAACAGCCCATCCACAGACAAAACAATCATCAGTAGGTCTCAGATGTCTTTTCTCATAATTCAAGTATAGCTGTGAAACCTCCCCTGTTAGACATAGGAGAGTCCTTGTGGTGGGTTCAGATTATGTGGCTTGGGGAAAAACAATAATTGGAAAGTGTAGAAGCAAATGTAGTATGTGTGAGAGAAATTAATAGAGAAATTATTACCTTGATCTAAAAGTAGTTCCACCAACTGATGTGTTCCTTCAGAAAAGTCATTGTGAATGAAAAGGAAAGACAGGAATAAGATTAGAATCATCTACACACATGACAGCTGAAGCTACTTCATGGTATGATTCCACATGGGCAGAATGGAGAAGAGGATAAGCATAGGGCTAGGAAGCAAGGCTTCAGGAGAAAAACTTGAAGATGTTGGTGGAAGAGAGGGCAAATGGTAGATGGAATGGGGCTCTCATGGATATGAAAAGGGTTGAAGCACAAAAATATCAGTAGTGTTGGCCCTGTGTACTGGTGGGAAACAAACAGAAGTGGATAGGGTATACAGGAATGAACTTGTTTGAATTTTTACTGGACACTACTGACAAGGGTGGATTTAACTTGTATTGACTCACATGATTGGCCACATGGGACTACAGAGTACCCAAAGTGTGGTAAACCTAAACTTTGATGTGATGAAGGTATAAAATAACGTATTTCTGGGACTTTAGGGGAAATTCTAATATCTCAAGTTTTATATTGAATACATGTTGAAATGTCAAAATAATTAAAATAGATTTAAAATTTTTATATTTTGATGTTTAGTATGTTAGATAAATGCTTTACCATTGAGTTGCACCCACAGGCCATTTACCCAGTTCATTTTGAATTATAAGTATGGTTCATTATATCTCCATTGGCTAGCACTGTTCAAAATGGACCACAAACCTAAAAGTGAAAGGTATTGGGAATGGAAGAGAACACAATAGTTAATTTTGTTACATAAAAAGATCTATACCCTGTCTCAAAAAAAAAAAACAAAATTTACTTTCAGAGACAAAGATATTAGTGGAAAGGCAAGATATTTGAAGCTAATAAGAAATATCAACAATATTCAGGAAAATCTTACAGCTCAACACAAAGCCTGCAACCTGAAATATAGGCAAAAGATAGGGGCAGGAAATGTATATGAGCACACACTCCAAGACCTTAAGAACAAGAAGTTATTTTCAAAATCATTAGTCATGATTCAGAAAAAAATCAGAGCAAGTTGGGGATAATACCTTTCATCTCTTTGACAAAAATTAGGAAAGTGAATGTCAAACCTTGATAAAGATAGAAAAAAACAGTGCCCCTTGGGTGTTGCAAGAGGGTATGCTAGTAGAGATTTTCTGGGAACTTAGACATGTTAGTTATATATACTCATGTGACCCAGCAACTCAGCAATTTTACCTCTGAATTTACTTACACACACACACACACACACACACACACCCTGAATTAGAGTACACAGACTGCTATTCACAACCTAGTTTATGATGCTGAGGAACTGAGGCAATTCTAGCATCTTATCTCCAAAAAGGGAAGGTGGAATGCATGGCTGGAGCAAGGAATATCACAGAAATTAGACTTAACACATCATACTTAGTGGGGAAAAGCAAGAAATAATTAGCTACACAACATACCATTTACATATTTATACAAACGTATGAAGGGTGAACATTATTTAGGTCTAGCAAAGAAGCCAACAATAAAAGAGAATTTGTGACAATCTAGGGACGTTAGAGCATAAATGTCAGATGTTGACATAACACATTGGGTGGCAGTATAGTTCAGATAAGGTCCTGGGACTTGGTCCTCAGTATTATGAATAAAAATGGCAGATTGTGAGGTACATAGAGGCAAAATTACACTGTGCATAAAAGGCTAGGTAAAATGTTGAAGCTAGACAAAAGGTCCAGAGGAATTACAAGTCTATATTTGTGGGTTTGTTTTTCTTTTGTTTTGAAATTTTTCCACAACGAAAAGTTTTAAATGAATTGAAAAAACACATATATTAAAAGGCATGTCTCAGGGGCTGGAGAGATGGGTCATCAGTTCAAACAATTGCTGCTTTTGTAGAAGACCCAAAAATGGTTCCCAACACTCACATTTTGAAGCTCACAAGATACCTAAAACCTAAGCTCCAGGAGATCTGACACTCTCTTCTGGCTTCTGTGAGCACCTGCATACACTTACACAGACACAAACATACACATAACTTTCTTTTTCTCAACAGGGTGTCTCTGTGTACCCCTTGCTGTCCTGGAATTGTGTAGACCAGGGCCTCTGCTTCCTGTATTCTGGGATTAAAAGCATGCGCCACTACCACCCAACTCACATAATTTTTTCAATATTAAAAGGAAAAGAGAAAAATCAGAGACTAGAAATGGTGGTGCACACCTGTGATTCCCAGCACTTGGGAGTCTCAGGTAGGAGGATTATGAGTTCAAGGCTGTTCTGGGTTACACAACCAGTTTTTGGCCAGCTTTGGCTAAATGGTAACACCATCTCAAAAAGAAAAAAAAATGAAATAGTGAAATGAAAATGTTAGAGAAAGATGGTATCTGTTAGCAGAACATTGGTTGTGGAGACCTCAGGGAATTTGGGAACAGTACAGTTTGACGGCTGCTCAGAAGGGATTCTGGCATATGGGTGCCACAGAGTACCACAGGCCACAGTAAGCATAGCAGCTTGCAATCCTGCTTCAGGGAAAGCTTCCTCAGTTTAACAACTCTGCTCAGGGAAGCTGTTTCAGTTCAGCTTGGGTCCCCTGGACTGTAACAACTCCACTTCCATAGGAAAGCTTTCCCTGGCAAAAAGTTCTGCTCTGCTTGACTCTGCCCAGGGTCGTGTCTGCTCTAGTGAAAGGTCTCACCCAAACCAGTCAAGAGTTATTGGGAGTGAAGAGTCCAGGAGAATGGCTGCCTCTGCCAGAGTGGAAGAGGACAGCCAGGCAGCACGAACAGCCACAAATTGACAGGGTTTATATAGGGCTTCTTAGGGTTGGAGTTTTCCAGGGTGGGGATTGGTCAAATTTCAATCCCTGAGCTCAGATTGACTAGAGCTCTAGCTCAGGAATTGGTTGGTTTTCTGCTCAGGTTCAGGGTCAGATTTGGCTCTGGTTTCAGGGCCAAAGTGTGTTTCTTTCTCTGGTCGTTTTTTAGCATTTTGGCTCTAGTTTTAGGACCAGGGCGTATTTCTTTTTCTTTTTTTTTTCCTTTTTAAAGATTTATTTATTACATATACAGTGTTCTGCCTACATGCCAGAAGAGGGCACCAGATTGAATTATAGATGGTTGTGAGCCACCATGTGGTTGCTGGGAATTGAACTCAGGACCTCTGGAAGAGCAGTCAGTGCTCTTAACCTCTGAGCCATCTCTCCAGCCTCCCAGGGCATATTTCTTTCACTGGGCGCTGGTGGCGCACGCCTTTAATCCCAGCACTCGGGAGTCAGAGGCAGACGGGTCTCTGTGAGTTCGAGGCCAGCCTGGTCTACAAGAGCTAGTTCCAGGACAGCCTCCAAAGCCACAGAGAAACCCTGTCTCGAAAAACCAAAAAAAAAAAAAAAAAAAAAAACCCAAAAAAACAAATACCAGAACTCAAAATGCAAAATTGTGTGATAGCAGACCCAGAGAGAATTCCAGGACAGTCAAGGCTACACAGAGAAACTGTTTTGAAAAACAAAACCAAATTTTTTAATTTAAAAAATGTGTCTGTTACTACAATTAGAAAGACAACGGCTTCTGAAATGACTGGGAAACATGAATTTGGTGACAGAAATATTTCCAAGTAGCTTGGGGAACTGGTCTTTATAGTATTGGAGGAGCTGGTGTTGAAACTACCACAATGGGGAATGGTGTTTAGCAACCATCCTAGAATCTCTACTAGGAAATAAATTCAACCCATCAGTCTCTCTAAATGGCTACTCTTTGTTGAATGGGACAGTGAGTAACCCACCTAGCCAGTACCCTGCTGCCACCAGGAGGTGCCCTTGGACCGCAGCTGAAAGTGCCTCTTGCAGCTTGAACTGGATGTGGCGCCCCTTGTCACACTCACATTCCCAAACCCGGACACTCTCTGGATTTCTACACCACGTATTTTTTGGGAGTGCTCACCACAATTCAGGAACCATGACAGACAGATACACAACGAGAGAGGGAAAACCCAACCCACGTATATTCATGAATAAACGTGACATAGTTTGAATAGAGAAATACCTTCCTCGGTCCTAACTCAGCTCTGTCACAGATCATCTTTTCGCCCCTCGATTCTCAGTGTCTATTTGCTCGCCAACGAACAACACAATCGCAGTGAAGATTAAGTTGTTTTAAGGGAGTTCTCGCTCCCTCCCACCCAAATAAGGGAGAGACTAGGTTAAGATGCGGTGCTTAGACTTCTGAAGTATCGCTCTCAGTCGCCACGGAAGTTGAGAAAACCCCCTTCTAGGGGGCCCAGTGAGACAACCCTTTGTCATCAGCCTCCCTCGACAGTGGGCCTAATAGCACGATCCATTGTGATGGTTAGATACTCCCCCTGGGCTTACGGTTTCGCCAAGGCAGTGGTGGCTTCCTGAGCTCTTTTGACGCTCAAGCCGCGACCCTCTCCCAAGGTGGTGATTGGCTAGCCGGGGCTGGGGGCGGGCTGACCCCCCCCTCTCCGCAGTGCCGTCACCACATGACCCCGCCCCCGCGCGGGGGCGGCCATTTGTGTGCGGCCGCAGGATTGGTCGCCCCGCTCCTGCGAGGGGGAGGGGAGGCAGGCAGCGCGCACTCGCGCGTGCGTGAGCTGGCGCGCGAGAAAGCGCTCGGTCGCGCCGAGGCTCGAGCGGCCGTCGCCATTTTGTAGGGTTCTCTCTGACGCGGGACCCGCCGCCACCGCCGGCACCACCCGGAGGTAGGAGAGGATACTGTGGGTGTGTGGGGAGCCCGGGAGCGGGCCGGGCCGGACCTCGGGAGGGCCGGGAAGGCCCAGATTTGGGGCTCCTCATCTTCTGAGGAAGGTCCCGGGAAGACAACGAAAGGAGGCGGGGCCGGGTCTCCGGAGGGGGCGGGGCAGGGGTCGGGCTGAGTCTTTGTTGGGATGTAGGAACTGGAGGTTGGGCTGCTGAGGAAGGGGGTTCAGGTGTGGGGAGAAAGAGGGCTTTTCGTTCCTAGAGTATGGTGGGAAGTGATACCGCGCTGTGGAGAGGCACACAGATTTCCCTCCAAAATCTTGTAACTAGGAACATTCAGATGTTTCTTGCTCTCTGCTTGTCGTTTCCTTCCCTGCGCTTCTAAGCCTTGAAGCAGCTAACCTTGTAGATAAAATGTACCTGACCTCACGGAGGTGTTGAACCTAGTTGCGCGTTCTGACCTCCGATCTTCTGCTGGCATTGTCACACAGCTTGCACTACTTAGGAACAAACTGCTATTTCTCTCTCAAAAGGACTAAATTACCTATGTGAGAGTCGGGGATATATTAATAATTGGGCCATTAAACGGAAATGCTGCAGTGCTATGCAATGTCTCACTTCACGCCTGACTTTTGAAATCTTGTTTGTAATGTGCCAGGCTCTTTGTCAGAATGGTGAAGCTGTTCATTGGAAATCTGCCCCGGGAGGCCACAGAGCAAGAGATCCGCTCACTCTTCGAGCAGTACGGGAAGGTGCTGGAATGTGACATCATTAAGAACTATGGCTTTGTGCACATAGAGGACAAGACGGCCGCTGAGGATGCCATACGCAACCTGCACCACTACAAGCTGCACGGAGTGAACATCAATGTGGAAGCCAGCAAGAATAAGAGCAAAGCCTCAACCAAGTTGCATGTGGGCAACATCAGCCCCACTTGTACCAACCAAGAGCTTCGGGCCAAGTTTGAGGAGTATGGCCCAGTCATCGAATGTGACATCGTGAAAGATTACGCCTTTGTACACATGGAGCGGGCAGAGGATGCAGTGGAGGCCATCAGGGGCCTTGACAACACAGAGTTTCAAGGTGAACTGTTCTGGGGCTTGGGTGGCAGAGGCAAGAACATAAGACCATGGGGCTGTGAGAGCGGCTTCCTCCATTCTCTTTTAGTTGAAATGAACAGGTTATGTTTACTATTCTTAAGTATATAATTTACTCTTAGGAAAGTAAACATTTTCTGTTTTGTTTACAAAGATGTTTCTCCACAACTGTTGGGTTACAAATTGTGGGTTACTTTATTTGGTCTTCATTCACTTGAGTGCTGCTAGAAGTCTAAGCTGTATGGGCATCCACAAGCCTTGGTTTTTTTATATTCTGATGAATTTATATTGAATGATGGGTGGTGGTAGCAAAGTGGAAAAAGAGTAGCATATCTAGAGGAAGCACTGGATGAGAAATCTGAGGTGTGTCTGGTTGGGGGGCAGGGATAGGTATCTTAGCAGTGTCCAAATTTGTTGAGTCTGTGGACTACAAGCAAAGTCAGGTAACATGTCATAGGTTCTTCTGCTCCACTTATTACTTACCTCTAACAAGTTAAAAAATGTTTTTGCTTTAGAAATTCAAGGTTGAATGGTGAAAATCCAATGAGGGCATCATAGAGCTTACGTGTTGCTTATATTGACTGTGTGTGTGTATATATACATACACACATACATACATACATATATATATTCATTCATTCATTAGTACCACAGAACCTTGTCTGGAAACCCTGGAATTGTGTTACTATAATAGCCATGTATAATAGCCATGGCTAATAAATTTAAATTAATTGAAGTAAAATTTCAAAATTGATTTTTCCAGTGTGGACATATTTCAAGAATACAGGAGTCATATGAGGGAAATGGCTACCATAGTAGGAAATATATAACAGACTCACATTGCAGAAAGTTCATTGCTTAGCACAGTTAGTTCTACAAGGCTTATTGAATGTCATATTCAAGGCTTCTTTTCTGTTCTTTCTTTTTTTTTTTTTTTTTTCCTTAAATGAAAAGACAGGGTTTCTCTGTGTAGCTTTGTAGACCAGGAAGACCTCAAACTCAGAGATCTGCCTGCCTCTGTCTCTAGAGTGCTGGAACTAAAGCATGTGCCACCACCACTGCTGGGCTCAAGCCTACTTTTCTAGTTTCTAAGTTAACACCACTAAAAAAGTTAAATATACAAAGGTCCTCTGCTAAACTAGAAAACAGTGAAATCATGGGAAAAGGGAAGGTTAATCAGAAAAATCTAAGTATACAAATAGTGAAGCTTACTGGAGGCTCACTATTTATGTATTCTAGATTCATCACTAATGCTCTGGCCTTTAGCTACTGAAAGCCTAGGGCACAAGTTGCAGTTAAATCCCTATCCTTAACCAGCAAGTTCACAAGTATACACCCCCCCCCACTACCCCTGCAGTGCTTTTCCCTATTATAAAATAATGATCTCTGATGTGGCTCCCTCAAAGAATGGTAGTGATATCAGAATGAGGTAATAAGTACATTTTAGCAATAAAAAGCAATTTATAATGAAAGATGAGTGCTATTTGCAACCATTATTTTTTTCTACTCTAGTTAGAAAAATATTTAAGATGTGATAAATACTACCACAGGGTTTCTTTGTGTAAGTCCCGAATGTCCTGGAACTAACTTTGTAGACCAAATTGGCCTCCAAGTCACAGAGTTTAAGCCACCATCTCTCGCTCGCTCTTTTTTTTTTTTTTTTAAATTTTGAAACAATGCTAGCACACTTTAACTTTGAAACATTCCTGATTATTTTCACTTGCTGTGGAAGATAGTCATTGATGGACAGGGGAAAGGAAGGAAGGAGTTTTCTTGCCCCACCCCCTCGGTTCTGGTATCATCCAAGGGCCCCACAAATGCTGGGAAAATGCTCTACCATTTGCCTGTATGTTCCCATCCCTGAAGAAGGGTTTGCTTATCAAGTAACAAGCAAAATGAAAAAAAAAACTTAAAACCAAGTACTAACTTGGCATGTAAATTCTATTAAATGCCCTTTTAAAGGAGATGGGTAAATAGGAGTTAGCTTTAAAAAGATGAGTAATGTGTGTTTTTTTTTTTCTTTTGGTTGGTTATGGGGTACTGAATATTGAACCCAGGGTCTTGAGCATGCTATGTACACAGTACCCCTGAACTTATCCTCCTTGAACCTTGTATTTGTTTAATAACACATATAATTACATAAGAAACGGGAATCTGAATAATGCAATGAAGGTATTTTTATTATATATGTTCACATATATAATATAAATAATCACTTCCATAGAAAATACAGACAATAACTGAGTTGAAAAAGAATAGTCATTTATTTGGTTTCATGTTCTTTTTCTGGCTTTTCTGGAGAGAGTGGTTTACTCCAAGCTATTTTTTTATTACATGCAGATATTTTTTCTAGTGAGCTAATTTTTTTCTCCCAGGTGGCAACAAAGTTTAGTATTGGATAATGAATTTTGTCTGTTGAGACAGGTTCTTAATATATAGCCTAAGGTGGCTCTTAACTCAAAATTATCCTGAGTGCTGGGGTTGTATATATAATTCAGTCACATACACATTTTACAGATAATATAATCTAGATGCCAATTTGGCATTTTGTTCAAATTAAGGCCTTCTTAGTCTAAAGGGTGCCGCTATGAGCATCTTTTGAATCTTTATTCTGTGTATTAATGGTTGTCTCAAAGTTATGTTTCTGCATTGTATAACTTCTAAAGATAGAATCAGAGTTTACCTGGGTCTTTCAAGATGTTTCCTCTCCACAGGCAGCAGTGAATGCAGTTTGAATTGGAAACCATAACGAAGCTGTTCCCAAGTAACCATCCGGGCAGCTGAATTGGGAAGGATATGTAAGAATTTAGGGGTGTTGTTTCAGCATTAAATCAGTGGATCATTATTATGTCAGCTACATCTCCAGTCTTCTTTGGACTCTGACCCAAGATATAATTTCAGAAATTAGAATTAAGTTTCCCATCTTTTAGCATTTTTAATACTCTTTTGTTCCAGCCTCCAAGAGAAAATACTTTTAGTGGACTGGTTTTCTAAAAATACTGGCAAATGTCAGTAACTTGGAGGCTTGAGAAAATTTAAGAGTTCTATTTGTCTGTATCTGATAGAGTGGTGAAACTTCTACCTGTTTCTAAAGATAACAGAGAAGCACAATACTCTTTCAGAATTTGAGAGATTCTAAATTGAAAGTCCTTGTAACCTTTGGAAAGAATGTAAAACAATAGAGACACCTATCTCTTATAATGCAGGTGTTTTTTAACTCTAAGTCAAAAACAAAAAAATTACCGGCATCCTTTTCAAAATTACAGAAATAGATTTTGCCACAGAGTTGATAAAGTATTCCCATCCTCATAAGTTACAAGTAGGAGTAGGACTGAGATACCAGGTAAAATCACTCTACTTCTCAGAATCTATTGGAAACTAAAGAGCAATCGATCCCCCCTTACAATGACTTCTAAGTCTCTCTGGATTGGGTATTTAGATTGGCATGGTTACTAACTTTAGAATTGGAGTAATTACATAGTTCAATGTAAGTATGTATGACTGTTTGAAAGCCAAATGGCTTATAATCCTCTAAATTATAGAGAACTCTACATATGAAGTATAATGAAGTATAAATGGAGACACAAATGTTTCTGATAAGCATAGGAAGCATTGTGGCTCTTAATAACTATATGATTGGGAATCTGCTTGCTATCTGTCAACTGCATCAATGGAAACCATCTATTAGCATCTGGGGTCAGAAGCTTGAGCACTCCTCCACCACCATCACCAAAAGACTGGCTTCTGTGTAACCCTGGCTGTCCTGGAACTCATTCTGTAGACCAGGCTGACCTTAAACTTGGAGATCCTCTTGCCTCTGCTTCCTGTGTGCTGGGATTCAAAACACTATACCCAGCCCAAAATGCTGATTATTCTTTTCACATGGGAATACAGACCCAAAAAACTACTACTGTTTTCACTTTGTTTTTGTGTAGTGCTGGGGATGGAATTTGGCCTTACACACAGTAGCAAAGTGTTCAACCATTGAGATGTATGTCTAGTCCAGAAGCTGGTAGTTTTAATATCTAACTCCTCCAAGAGGCTTTGCTCAAGTAGTTCTGGTCCTGAGGAAAAACTGAGGTGGAGGTAAAATCTATAGAGGTTCTTTTAATTCTCACAGGTAAAGATGAAGCCAGTGATAAGCAAAGTTATGATTTGGGTATCCAACATAGCACCTGCACACATTCCTGGAGGAAACATGGTAGATTGCTGTTGAACTGGGATTGTTTGTAGGGTTTGGGGGTGATGCAATACTAGAGGTTGAGCCCAGGGTGTCATACATGCTAAGGGGCATGTGTTTTTTCCATTGAGCTCAGACCTGACATGAATTGTTTATAGAGAAAAAAAGATGCCTTCTAAAATTGCTGTTACGTTTTGTTAGATATCTAGTTTGAGTTGGAAGTAGTAAGTCTTAGAAAAAACCCCAGCAGTCTTTGCATGGGGGGAGGGGATAGACTGTGGAGATGAAAGAAGGGGGAGATTCTGATATGCTACTGGCATTAGTTTGACTGGTCTCTAAGGACTGCCATATTCTAGCCCTCGTCTCTGTTGAAATTAACTTTTTTGGAAGGGATTGCTGAATTAAGTAATCACTGGAGTGTATGTATATGTATTCTATGTTTACTTTCACTTAGGTAAGCTTGGAAAGAATGTTAATGAGTAATAATTTTTATCTGTTTCTCCAAGGCAAACGAATGCACGTGCAGTTGTCAACTAGCCGACTTCGGACAGCCCCTGGGATGGGAGACCAGAGTGGTTGCTATCGGTGTGGGAAAGAAGGACATTGGTCTAAAGAGTGTCCAGTAGACCGTACAGGGCGTGTGGCAGACTTTACTGAGCAATACAATGAACAGTATGGAGCAGTGCGCACACCCTACACGATGGGTTATGGGGAATCCATGTACTACAACGATGCCTATGGAGCACTCGACTACTATAAGCGCTACCGGGTCCGATCTTATGAAGCTGTGGCGGCGGCAGCTGCAGCTTCTGCATATAATTATGCAGAGCAGACCATGTCTCATATTCCTCAAGTCCAGAGCTCAGCTGTACCCAGTCACCTCAACCCCACTTCTGTTGATCCCTATGACAGACACCTATTGCAGAACTCCAGCTCAGCTGCCACCTCAGCAGCCATGGCTGCCGCTGCCTCTTCCTATTATGGAAGGGACAGGAGCCCACTGCGTCGGAATACACCTGTGCTCCCTGCAGTTGGAGAGGGCTACGGGTATGGGCCAGAGAGTGAGATGTCTCAGGCTTCAGCAGCAACACGAAATTCTCTGTATGACATGGCCCGGTATGAGCGGGAGCAGTATGTGGACCGAACACGGTATTCAGCCTTTTAAAAACTGGAGGTGAGAGTGGGGTGGATGTGGTTGAGATTTGCATTTAATTCCCTACAAGAGACCTTTGCTTCACTGAGGAGCCAGAGCACCAAATAAGACAATACCTAAAAAGCACAAATTACTTGTTTTCAATATTTTTTATAGTTTAGGCCACAGGTTTATTTGGCCTGTTGAGGAGTTGGTATGATTCCAATGTACTACGTTTGAAATAGGAACAAGCTCAGTTAATGCCTTAAATCCCAGTACTGGGGATACAGAGGCAGGTGGATCTCTGTGAGTTCAAGGATAGCCTGGTCTACATAATGAGTTCAAGGACAGCCATTGAGACCCTGTCTCTGTGAAAAACCAAAAAGGAAAAAAAAAAGTTGTAAACAGATACATGGTATGGGGCAGATATGGAGAAGCTAACACATATTGGCCCCTTGTTTTATAAAAAGCTATTTCCTCATTCAGAAAGAACTGAGTCTCAGCATCAGTACTTTGCATATGATCATCTGGTAAATGAGAGGTAGAACCAAAATTCAGACTCAGGCCTCTTAAATTCATACTCTTTCCAGCCAGGCAGTGGTGGCACATGCCTTTAATCCCAGCATTTGGAAGGCCGAGGCAGAAGCGGGCAGATCTAAGAGATCTAACTTTGAAGCCAGCCTGGTCTACTAGAATGAGTTACAGAACAGCTAGGGCTACACAGAGAAACCATCTCAAAAAAACAAAACAAATAATAAAGTCATACTCCCCCCCCCCCAATACTAAACTACTGTGGTAGTGATGGTGAGGGGCACATTAGGGAGCTAGAAAATGGACAGCACAGTAAGAATTTTAACTCTAAACTTCAAGAATTTCCAGTTTGCCTATACACCACTTCTTGGACGAGCACATGGTGTACATACCTGTAATCCCAGTACTAGGGAGGATGAGGCAAAAAGGATTATGCTAATAGGACAGCCTAGGTTACACAGCAAGTTCTGGCAAAGTCTAGGAAATATAACAAGACCCCTGTCACAAAAAAACAAAACTCAACTACTTCTTGGGTCATCAACTTTTATTAAATGAAGCTCTTAAGTGTGTTTCTTTGTAAATCAACCAAAGCCCTAATGTTTTAAGACACTTCAGTTCTCAAATGTTTTCATGATGTGTTCCATGAAGTACTTATTCCAGCAAGTGCATGTTGATGCAGGCACTTAAGCCCTATTTCTTTGTAGCCTATGATAGAATTCCTGTTTCTTTCAGCAAGTTTTGTTTTTTAAGGCCACACTCAAGGAACTGGATAAATTGATAATTTCTGATGTGTATAAAATCTTGTAGGTGGTGACATTGGATTTGTTTATTTGTTTGTTTGTTTTTTGTGACAGGATTTCTCTGTAGCTTTGAAGCCTGTCCTGGAACTCACTCTGTAGCCCAGGCTGACCTCAAACTCAGAGCTGCCTGCCTCTGCCTCCTGAGTGCTGGGATTAAAGGCATGCGCCACCACCTCCCAGTATCATTGGAAATTTAATGTTTACCTATTTCAAGAAATGTGTACAGAGTATTGGAATGGCAAGAATTGGGGATATTCAAAGACAAGTAAACTTCATTAGAATGGAAATGGCATTTACAATGTACAGTTCTCTCAATTTTCCTTGTACTTTGAAGTTGAGTGTCACTTAAGTTAGAGCCCTAGCAGTTTGGTTAAACAAGTTACCACTGAGACGCCAGTGTTCCCAACTTACCCTGATTTTGTATACATGTTAAAAACAAAAAAACCAATGGCATGTATGTTTGTTAAGTTATATGCTGTACAGTTGGGTCAGTAAGACTTGGGATTTCTTAAGACCATCATTCAGCCATGCGTTAAGCATGTCAGTGGATTTTGCCATTAATTCCTATAGCTGGATCTACCCTGTGAGATACCTCTGGTAGTATTAGTCCGTTAGATAACTTTGTTTATCAAGAATGTTTCAAAGTTAAATATTAAATTAGTATAATATAGCCTTTAAGGGTATTGTTAGGATATTTTAAAAGTGAATTTTAACTTCAATCAGTAGCTGTTCAACTAACCTCTTTTTAGTGATGACTTTTAAAGAAACTTACCTTCCAGGTGTGAACCTCAAATGGACTGAATAACCCTGAGTTGGTTGCAGTCCCAGGAGCCTGATGTTAATGAGGCTGCCAGGATGAAATACTCCACAACTGTTGGGGATCCAAATTCGGGTCTCACCCTAACAGAACTGATCCAAGAACATCACAGCTTTTGAAGTCGATTGGCACAGATCAAGACCAAGATTTGGCCCTGTGTCTGTATTAAGTAGAGGAGCTTGGTGTGAGTTAACTTTTTTTTCCCCCCAGCCATTGGTGTCTGGATTTCCCATCATCAATGGAGGAATTAGACAATCTTAGCAGTGATTTCTTCTTTTGATTTGTCAAGGGATATTTGTTCAATTAGGAAACTACTGCAA